AGCACTTTATTGTCAGACTGATGATGATCAATAACAAAACTCTTGAAGCTTGATATATTCGAATCGATGAATATCATCGAAAAGATTCATTTGTTATGTCGAAGAATCGACATTCGATTGAAAATCAGTCCAACAAATAGCGGAAGTTGCATATACAGTAGAGCATTTGTAGAGGAGGCCTTAGTTGATCATTTTCTCAGAATATTTTTCCGGGATTCATAATTGAATTGGGATCAATCGCTTTCTTGAGTGCCTTCATCGTGTTCACAGCCACTTCACCGAATTCATCAATCATATATTGGCGTTTCCCTAATCCGATACCATGTTCGCCAGTGCACGTTCCACCAACAGCCAGTGCACGCCTTCAAATCAGTGCACAGTTCTTCTTATTATCTAACATACGATAAGCTCTTCAAATTTCTTTTTGATCAGTTTCAATAGCTTAATGAAAAACAGAACATCATTTAGTCGATCAGTACGTGAATCCTATGACCAAAATATTCACAAATTGATCGAAAAGATTTCGATGAAAATGTGATGAAAGCCTTACTTGACACATCGATCCGACAATCCCCAAATCTGTTTCATTTCCTCCTCATTCGACTTATCACACGCAAACATACAATGAAAGTTTCCGTCACCAACATGGCCCAATATTCCGCCTTAACAAAGCACACAGTCAAATTGAAATAGATACTTAAATCCGTGGACAACAGAATGTCACTTNACTTACCAATTGCCCCAACTTGATCGATATCTTTTCGCGTTTCCGCAATAACATCAGCCAATTTCGAGATCGGTACACAAACATCCGTTGAAAATCCCTTAACAGGTGAATGAAATGATTTGCAGAAATCGATTTGATCACTCAGTCCATAAATGAACAAATTTTCGAACAATCATCTAAAAAACTGATCTGTCTATGCGCTCAGCACACAGTGATCATACAAAGCGATCAACTAAAATAAGCTTCATTAAATTTCGAAGTGGATCATTTCGTTGAAACCGTTATCATAAATTCAAATCAGAACGATGAATTAAGTTGACTTAAGTAATAGATATCGCCACAACCTTGGAGCCTTTCTTCTGCGCTATAATTGCATAGTAAACGTTATGACGCGCTTTCCAGAGCTTATCCATCTCTTCAGGCAGATACGACCACTGGAAATCGCTTCCTCCATTATCCGCGCAAATATCCGCTGAATGCAATAATCTCTTATAAACAACACGCAAATAATCCGAATGCATCACACATCGTTAATGATCGCAATGATCCACCATTATAAGTTCCATATCAAATGTTCGATTGTATATTTTGATAGAGCTTCAATTACTCAATGAGTTAGTTGGCTTGTGTGAAGCTCAGATTTGTTGATTTCTCACTCGTTTACAACAGATACAACATCAGACCTGTCCAGCTCTTCACGATTTTCGAAATGAATTCAAAACAGTACCTACAAAACCAGCCGAGTATTTGACCTCCTCTTCAGTGCTGCCATCGAATTCTAAGCACAGTGTCGGTTGTTCGGGTAGTGTTAGATGGCTGAACTTGTTACATGCTTCAACCACTTTGTGATCCAAAAATTCTGAAATCAGTTCTCTAAATTGATTTCTGAAACAAGAACGAGCATCAAACAAAACCTCGTGTCATATCTATAATAATTTTTCATGACAACGCTTCCTTATTATACTCAACTTCTCATACTTTATTTGTTATATATTTAGCGACGCTTCAACAATCTATTAAATCTACTCGGCAAGATTGTTTGAAATTGTTTTGAGATTATTTTCATGCGAAGTTATTGATGAGAGTCACTCGAACGAACGAACGAACCAATTC